TTCTAACCAAGAAGAAATGTCTGTGGAGATTCTCAGTCATCCAGGTCATAATTGACTCAAAGGTGCGTTTTTCTTTAAAAGGCAACTGGACTGTTTTTTTCCTTGAGGAAGATATTTTGCTTCTCATCCAAGAAGCTTCATCAGTTCTGATGGCAAAGGGATGGAAGGTTCCACAACCAATTGCACCCTGATTCAGGTGACCCTGAGGGCACACATAAACTCCCAAGTGGCCTCTACAGCTCTCAGAGAGTGCTAATGCAAAGAAATACAATCCTTCCATCCCCCGCCGTCCTATCAGAATCTATCCTTCGATTTCCCTCCCTTATCCAGTCTCAACTGTCAATACCTATCCTTCCATCCCGCCGCCATCAGAACTGATGAATGAAAAGCATTCACTGGATGAAAAGCAAAAGGTTTTTCTTCTTCTTCCACACGGAAAAAAACAGTCCAGTTGTCTTTTGAAGAAAAAAGAACCTTTGAGACACCAAGAAGAAATGATCTCGAGTAAAGGCCAACATAGGCCTCATTCCCCTATCCAGTTTGTAAGAGGGTCTCACTCTCGGCTGTCTGGGGAGTCCGGGGTAGTTCCAGTTCAGCTGCATTCCTTGTAATGACAACAGGCTCCTCCACCACACTGATACTATTACACTGCATCAGATCCTGCAGCAAATTAAATATCTCTTCAGCTCTTGAGCACTTGAATGCAAAAATTCCTAGGCGAAGAACAGAAGGTCTATTTTAATGCTAGTGTGTTCACTCTCTCTAAAACAAGAAATGCATTTCAAATAAAGATAAAGCAGCGCTAACAAAATGCACCATTACTCCAGCCATATACCTCTATTCTAAACATTAGCAGATTACTAAATACAATGAAAGCAATATGATTGCATAGACATTTGGACAAATCAAAAGGATAGGATTAAGCTGTAACATGTGATTAATGCACACTGAAGCCAAAGGTCTGGTCCTGAGATTACACCTTAATTTAGGAGCCCCTTAGAAATATGTTGACTGCTTACCAACTTAATTTATATCTTTGGACATGAGGACAAGTCTTCAAAATTATAAATATTACTGTAAATGCTAATTGTGTAATTAGTTATACAAATTAATAATAAGGGAAGCAGAAAAAATGAATCAAAAGGTGATACTGTCATGATATATTTATTGAAAGAGACTGTCTCTTTAGAGAAGAGCTTCAGGACCACTGAAATTTCAAGTCCATCATTTGCAAGAAGCTGGGAAGAAGAAACCATAATTTCTGAAGAATAGTTGAGCTCAAACTATTTAGGACTTCAAAATCAAAACAAAGATATTTGGTTATTGAGCAAGTCTCTCAGTCAGGCAGCTATCCTCATCTACTGGGTTATACATAAAATGGAATTATGGTTTCATTTGTGCAACATTCTGGCCAAGAATAAAAGTGTTCTATAATTTGAATGCATTTCAACATACCCAGGTGGTATAGATATACATAGTTAGAACATAACTTAGAACTGCTAACCATGAAATACCGGTAGTACATTTACATTACTGTTTATTGTTGTTGTGTTTTGAAATAATTATAAAGAGAAAGAATTGAAATTGATTTTTTTTCTACAGTTCCACTGTTATTCACTTGCATTTTCCATATTCCAATGAAAGTAAGAAACAGAATGGGAATTGAAAAAGAACAAGTTATTATTATTGTTACTAGTATTACTTGGTAAATGTTCAACTATGCTCCATAGCCCATGAGAAATTTGAGGAAAACATTATCTGTATCTTATTTGGGCAAAAAATAAGCCTGCAACAGCATGAGCCTGCATAAAGAATCTAACAAGCTGTTTCCATTTAAATTTGCCAGCTCAATGTTGAGGTTAGACCCTTTTTTGCAAATCATCAGTAATTAACAGGATTGTACTGGTACATGTCTGGGAAGCACAGTAATTTGCTTTTCTATTAAACTGCAACACCTGCCCACCACCCATAAATACTTTTATCAATTGACTCTCTATTCTGAACTAACCAATCAGATACCGGCATGCACAGACATAAATCAAAAACCCATAGCAACAAGGACAAGAACATGGCAACAACAGCTGCAATTCTGAATAAAAATATTCTAACACACACACACACACACACACACACACGTCAATAGATCCTACACATTTTCTGTCTTAACTTCCTGATATTAAGAATGATCATTCAAGTGAAATAAGCTTTAAAATCCAACCATGAGAGAAAGGAATGTGAAAAGAATCAAAGGACATTCACATAATGCAAGGGAAATAATGAAACTTACAACCATTGAAAATCAAACCTGCCTTTTTTATCCACACTGCTTTGACTCAAGGCCTTTCATATTTTTTTGCTATTTCATTGGTAACATAAGAGATCACACTGCTGGCACAAACTAATGCCAATGGTGATCAAACCATGGGTTACAAATAGGCAGCCAGCTAGATAATATTCCTACCAAAGTCACATTATAGAAAGGCCTCAACTTATGACCGTATGTTCAACAATCATGAAGTTACAGTGGCACTGAACAAATGGTATTTATGCCTGCCTGTCTACTCCTTCCCCTGCCTACTTCCCTATCTTTGCCCACAGCTCTGCAAGGCAGCTGCTGGCCACACAAGGCTTCCTTTCTGAGGTCACATGTGGCAGTTTCCTCATGTGAGGACCTGGGGGAAGGAGTCCTCATGTGGCCAGCACTGCCTTGCAAAGGGGCCAGGCAAACCTCATCAGAATTGGGAACAAGACAGAGAAGGTCAGTCGGGGGTGGTGAGAGCAGTAAGAATGCAGGGGGGGGGGGCAAGAGTGGCTGGGGCTGGTTTAGGTTAGGGCTTCTTACAGCCCCAGAGCCGTGGTGTGCAAAGTAACTTCTGAGCAGCAGCATGACAAGAGCCCCCCAATCGTGCAATTTTAGGGTGGCTTGCTGCTTTACAAGGCAGAGTACAGAGGGCCAAAAGGGCAGAAATGGGGGGAATAGGCAGTTAGGGGGAGTTGAAGGGGAGGCATTCCCTTACCTTGGAAGAACCAAGGGTTGGGGCTGGAAGGGACGAAGCTGGGAATTGCTTGGATTGGGATAGGTCCTTGTGGCTAACAAGTGGAGGTTGTTAACCATGACAATAGGGAGCGCTAGGACTGCCATTGCAAAGGAATGGGGCCACGCTTTATGGCTGCATTACTTAAAAGCTTGAGCTTTACAACTGTATCTCTAGTGAAAGAAATTCTGGTCCTAACAGCCATCATAACTTGAGGACTATCTACAAAGGTGAAATGATGCATAGCATAGATAATGCAAAAAATGGCATTATAATGTTATAAGATAAAGTTAACCCCATATTGTTCCACAAAATGCAGCAGTACTTAAATTTAATAACAAAATAAACAAAAAAAATATAAAATTTATTTTGTTATATCAGCTCAAGAGCTAGAACTTTAATTCCAATCCTGTTAGATTTAGATTGGAATTTTAATCTGGATTAAAATACTTCTGTTTTTAAAAATGTTACTATTCTTAATATAGTCTAACTATTCTTAATGCAACAAAGGCTTAAATGATCTCAGAGTTATTCCCAATCTTGCCCATCTCACTACAGACAAAATTATATGGATTTAAAAAACTATCAGAGAATATTGGCCAGAACATTGTTGCAATGCTGTTAATGCGAAAGATGTTAGAAACCTGAATACAAGGTATTTAGACTTTCCATTAATATATGGTTGGCTTTTATGAAACAGAATACTGGATTAAATAAGGCTTTTAAAAAGTGTTCTCTCACTAATATTTATCTGAAAACAAAAATGTGAATTTTCTTAAGTGTCATATTAGAAGACTGTTTCTATTTTTGAATCAGATTTACAACATCCTATGAGGAGAGAAACTAGATATTATCCCAAGTTAACAGCTGTCCTGCTACTTGGAGAGAAATTTACATACCCTGTCCAGTCAGGCAGCGACGTCCACTTTCAAAGGAGAAGAGGTTGGAATCATAGCCATAGCGACGCAAGCAAAGGTATGGCCACCGAACAGCATCGCGTTTATGAGTGTGCAAAACAAGCTCCCTCTGTGTCAATTCCATAATCCCTGAGCCCAGCTCCTTGCCCTCATCATCAACATTTGTCACCTGTAGAAACCAAAGCCAGTTGTCAGGAGCTACTAGTATAAACACTAAACACCATATAGTCACTGTGGCTTATTCAGGAAGGTACACCAGCCCAGTCACATCTCCATGAGGCAGTCATTTTTTTCTTATTCAGTGGTGAAATGCTTTAGAGCAATGTTTTTCAGCCTTGGCAATTTTAACATGTGTGGACTTCAGCTCCCAGAATTCCCCAGTTAGTGGACTCAGAGTAGAAGTCCATACATCTTTTAAAAAAGAAGTAAAAAAAGTAAAAGATGCTTATAGGTCTTTACCACAAGCAGCTGTGGGACACTCTGACCACTGCATGATTCCCCTTGTACCTGCCTACAAAGACTTAAAACCATGAAACCAACCATTAAATCAGTGAGGACTTGGTCTGATGACGCAAAGCTGAAGCTCCAGGCTTGCCTTGATTGCACTGATTGGAATGTTTTTGAAGATACCTCTGCAGACCTAGATGAGCTCACAGATACTGTAACAACATATGTCAGCTTCTGCGAAGACTTATGTGTACCAACAAGGAACCTGTATAGTATATATAGTAAATATATAGTAACAATAAACCTTGGTTCACAGCTAAACTTAAGCAGCTATGTCGTTCCAAAGAGGAAGCCTCCAGAAAAGGTGACAGAATGCTATACAATCAGGCCAGAAACATATTAACAAGAGAGATCAGAGTAGCAAAAAGAAGCTACTCTAAAAAGTTAAGGAATCAGTTCTCAACAAATGAACCAGCAAACATGAGGAAAACTCTTAAAAACATCGCCTGCTACAGCAAACCTCCTTCCCAGGCAGAAGGAAATCAACAACTAGCAAATGACCTGAATGTGTTTTACTGCAGGTTTGAAAGGAAACTACAGCCACCTATTTCCACAACCCCCATCTCAAACACATCAACCAAGCCTCCTACAACTGGCCCCAACCCATTGGGTTCACAACCTCTGGTGATCACAGAAAAAGAAGTGCAAGATCTATTTCACAGACAAAAGCCAGGAAAAGCACCAGGGCCAAACAAGATAACTCCTTCTTCCTTAAAAGTCTGTGCTGACCAATTGGCCCCCATCTTCACCTGAATCTTCAATAGATCACTAGAGATGTGCTATGTTCCTTCCTGCTTCAAACGCTCTACTATCATCCCAGTGCCAAAGAAGCCCTCCATCAAAGAACTGAATGACTACAGACCAGTTGCTCTAACATCTGTAGTTGTGAAAAACTTTGAAAGGCTTGTGCTGTCCCACCTGAAAACCATCATGGATCCACTATTAGATCCCATGCAGTTTGCATACCAAGCAAATAGATTGACAGATGATGCTGTTAACATGGCTCTGCATTACATCCTACAACACCTTGAATCTCCAAATACCTACGCACTTGTAAGTGGATCATAAGCTTCCTAACAGACAGGAAGCAGCAGGTGAAGCTAGGCAGAATCACATCTGATACCTGTACAATTAGCACAGCGCCCCCTCCAAGGCTGTGTGCTTTCTCCACTTCTCTTCTTCCTATATACCAATGACCCAACAGGACAGACACAGACTTCAGAGGATAATTAGGACTGCAGAAAAAACAATTACTACCAACCTGGCTTCAATGGAGAACCTGTATACTGCACAAGTCAAAAAGAGGGCTGTGAAAATATTTACAGTCCCCTCACATCCTGGACATAAACTGTTTCAACTCCTACCCTCAAAACAACACTATAGAGCACTGCACACCAGAACAACTAGACACAAGAACAGTTTTTTCTCAAAAGCCATCACTCTGCTAAACAAATAATTCCCTCAACACTGTTCAATTATTACAAAGACTGCACTATTACTGTTTATCTTCTCTTCACTCCTTATCACCCATCCCCTTCCACTTGTGACTGTATAACTGTAACTTTGTCACTTGTATCCTTACGATTTATATTGACTGTTTCCTAGTATGATTTGATTG